GTATATTAAAGAATGTGTATGGGTGCATTTTAATATGACCTTTTTTTTTTTTTTTTTTTGAGACAGTCTAAGCTGTTGCCCTGGGTAGAGGGCCAGGAGTCATAGCTCACAGCAACCTCCAGCTTGGGCTCAAGTGATCCTCTTGCCTCGCTTTTTTTTTGTTTTTTTACTTATAGTAGAGATGGGGTCTGGCTTTGCTCAGGTTGGTCTCGAACTTGTGAGCTCAAGCAATCTATCTGCCTCGGCCTCTAAGACTGCTAGGATTACAGGTGTGAGCCACCAAGCCTGACCTTAATAAGACTTTAGAAAGACAGGCAGCCAGCTCAGGCCATGGTTTACCAACCCTTGTCATAAAGTACCCAACTTCTAACTCAAATTTTTTAAAGTTTGAAATGTTCTTCAGGTATCTGATGAATTGTTTTAAGGGTTTTCCCACTGTTTTTAAACTACAGTGGGCCTGTCTGTCAACTAGGTGATACCATAGTTTGGTGTCTCACACTGAGACGTTTCCTTGTGAGCAGCAGATTAATGGGCAGGGGGTGAGGAGGGAAGAATCCACCTTGCACAGTGGCTTCTAATTTTACCCTTTGGTTGCTTTGCAGTGCTCCACAGTCACTTCCAGAGCCAGTGGCATCAGCACATTCCAGCAGTGCGGAGTCAGAGAGCACCAGTGACTCCGACAGCTCCTCAGACTCGGAGAGCGAGAGCAGTTCAAGTGACAGCGAGGAAAACGAGCCCCTAGAAACCCCGGCTCCGGAGGTACCGTACCCCCTCGAGATGGTCACCTCGGATGGCACTTTCTGTCCTTTGTCCTTTGGGCTAGAGTCTGTACTGTGGGCCAGCACTGACATGAGGCTGGGTAGTACATCCGCCGGGGTGGTGCTGTCCTGCCCCTGTGCTGCAGAGACATCTGTTTCTCTTTACGTGTTTCTTACCAAATGTTTGGTAGTGGAGAGCTGGGAGAGATGTCTTCTCTCCCCTGTTGAAAATGTTGCTGACAGTTGTTTTGAAGAGCAACTCATTAAAAATGCATGCACATTTTCTTTTCCCTTCATTAGAAAAAGAAAACTTGTTTTTTAGTAGGCCACTCTTTTAGTATTAATCAGAATTTTTTGAAATTTCAGGAATGTGTGAATCAAGCAAAGCAAAAGGAGATCGTCTCATTTAGCAAAGGGCAGGAACGTGAACTAGATATGTCATCAGGAGTTCTATTTTTGAATCACTAAAAGCCAAGCTATTAAATTGATGGCAAAGCGATTTTGCCAGGCCTCTCTCCCTTTTTTTTTTTTCTTTTCCCTTCTGCTCCATGTAAAACAGGGATAACCATTTGCTTATCATCTACCCTCAGGAGATACTATAAAGGTGAACAAACTGAAGCTGGAATCTCAAGCACTACATTTATGGGGGGGGGGTATACTCTTTCCTGAATTGTTGAGTGCAAGAAATTATTAGTAATAATAAAAACAGTTGGCAAATACCCTCATACTGCAGGTGGCAAAGTAAAAATTACACTAGGGAAGGAAAGTAGTAAAAAGGGGAGAAGGCATTCCTGTTTTATTTTTGGTGAATGAAACCAACTGACATAAAAAATTTAGTCTGCATATGTAAGATAGGAATGCCAAGAAATGACGCTTTCTGCTTAGAAACACATTGAAGTTTTTTGCATTTGTCTCTGTTTAGTTCCAAAGCACTCTCACTGGACCACGGATCTGGAGCTCGTTCAGTGAGACTTAAGGACAGGGGAAGTTGAAACAAATCACTGGGTATCATTTTCTGTTAGATATGAATCTGTGTCTGGCACAGGATGAGTGATTGATAGTTTGGGGAATGAATGGACATGGATCAGCATTTATTGCACGTGAAGTGCCTTTCAGATTTTAGCAATTGTTCTCTGTGTTTCTGGGACTCTCCACTTTTTCCTTATGCTAATTATGATTGATAGTTTTTCTGTGCCTTGGGGGAAAAGATGCTGAATATGCTATGCAAAAAGACTGCCTGGTACTCACTGCTAATGCTTCTGAGAGCTTCACTTCGTTTCACCGTGTTCAATAAGAGCGGTCTGCTTCCTTGTTCGATTATTGGTATAAAATAGATAATTAAATAGTAGAATTCCATTAAAATAAAATGGAAATGTATAGATTTGAATGAATAGGTGAAACTTGAAAAAATGTGTAGTAATAAGACAGTTTATACACACACACACACACACACACACACACGTAGATATATGTATATATATATTTTTGGAGACAAAGTTTCAAGCTGTTGCCCTGGGTTGAGTGCCATGGCAGCATAGCTCACAGCAACTTCCAACTGTTGGGCTCAAGTGATCCTCTTGCCGTAGTTTTTCTATTTTTAGTAGAGACTCAGGCTGGTCTTGAACTCATGAGCTCAAGCAATCTGCCCACCTTGGCCTCCCAGAGTGCTAGGATTACAGGCGTGAGCCACTGCGCCAGATTAGATTGAGACCTCTTAGATCTAACTTAAAAGCTCTGGCCAGGTATGGTGGTTCACACCTATAATCCTAGCACTTTGGGAGTCTGAGGTGGGAGGATCACTTGAGGCCAGGAATTCGAGGCCAGTGAGACCCCATCTCTACAAAAATAGAAAAATTAGCTGGGCATGGTGGTGCACATGTGTAGTCCCAGCTACTTGGGTGACTGAGGCAGGAGGATTGAGGTGTTTGAGACTGCAGTGATCTGCCGTGATGCCACTGCACTCTTAACTGGGGCAACAGAGGGGACCCTGTTTCAAAAAACAAAAAAAAGGTCCCAAAAGGTCCCACCCTGCTTTATTTTTTAAAATCTTTACCTAAGGCCATGTGCAGTGGCTCACACTTGTTATCCTAGCACTCTGAGAGACCAAGGCAGATGAATTACTCAAGTTTAGGACTTTGAGACCAGCCGGAGCAAGAGCAAGACCTCTTCTCTACTAAAAATAGAATTAGCCAGGTGTAGTGGCAGGCACCTGTAGGCCCAGCTACTCACTTGAGCCCAAAAGGTTGAGGTTGCTGTGAGCTATGATGGCACAGCACTCTACCCAGGGCACAGAGTGAGACTCTGTCTCTAAATAATAGCCAAATAGTAAAAAAGTAAAATCTTTACTTAAATGGCTCTTGTACATGTGTATTGATGTGCATATCCAGGCTGAGAGAACATATGTGCATTATGTACTGAGGCTCATATTTCTGGGAATGTTTCATCTTTGTTTAGATTTTATAACTTTAATTTTCCTCAAGATGTTTGAAACTACTTTTCTTTCTTTTATAAATCTCCCATGTTAGTTGAAAGTAACATGAATTCTATAATCAGCCATAGACACTGGTTTTAGCTTTCTTCTTCTATTTTAATGTGGGAAATTTGCTTCCTTTGGCTCCGTTTTAAGTCATTTTGTTTGATGTAGTCCCAGTGATCCTAGGAGATCTAGTGCGTTACATGCGTGCCAACCAGCTCACGCTGACCTGGGAAACCAGCCGCAGTAGATGCCATTTCAGTGTCTGCTTTATAAAGTGATTCTCGCCTTTTCAAAATATCTGAACACATTGCCTTTTTGCTCCTTAAGTAAAGTTTAGAAGATGCGAGTTCTTGAATCTGTTTGTGGTCCAGCCCTTTGGTAGTGTCTTACTCCACCTCATGCTACTTGTCTATGGGCTCTAGGAGCTTTTTCATAAATTGTTTGATTTAACCCCCATCAGCCCTAAAGTTTGGCAGAATCCTTTTTGCCTATAAAGAAGTTAGGAGCTCTAAATTTCATATCTTTAGCCATTTCACTCTAAAACCTGTTTTTTCCCTGATTATACTAGTTTTTTAATGCCTGCTGTACCTATACCTATCATGTACCTATACCTATTTATGCTGATTATAAATCTCCTGTGTTGAGAGTAATGTGAATTCCATAATCAACCATAGGTATTAGATTTTTTTTTTTGCTCTTTATTTCTTCTATTTTAATGTCCCCCTTTTAAAACTGCACTTACATTCTCCACAGCTATTTAATTTTACTAAAAAGGTAGATGTTTTGTGCATAGCCAAAAACTTCTTATTCAAAACCATAATTATTCTAAAATGCACTAACTTTTGCCAATTTAAGTGGTTAGGAGAGGTAAAGGGGGTATGTCAAATATTCATTAAAACACTTAATAAAAAATAATCAAACTTTTCTACTTCCCATTTTATTTAGGTTGTACCCCACTGAGAGGATGGGGGCAGGAGGTGAGGAAGGGCACAGGAAGAGATGAGAAGCCCAGGCCTTCGTCCTGTCTGGCACTTACCCACTTACAATTTATTTTAAAATATATTTTAAATCAACCCCTTATACAAATATTTCTCCCATTATTATATCCAAATAATATCTGACCTTTAGTGAATTTTATCCACTTTACAGCTTTTTATTGGATACACAAGAGGATTACCCCTCGTCTGGCACAACAACTCCATTTCCCCCTGAAATTGGGCTGTTAAGTTCCCTCCTGGACATTTTTAGGACCACAGTGGAAGAAAATGTTTTATTTCTGTAACCAGGACATTCCTTCAGGGACCACTAAGTGTATCTAAGTACTGCCCTGTTTTGGGGGGTAGCGGGGAAAAGCTATGTTATTTTTAGCAGGAACAACTTGCCTTTTTGGTTCACACATAAATACTCTTCTGAAGAGCATGTTGGTGATGGGCGTGCAGTTGTGAACACAGCTGGCAGGTGAGATGCGTCCTCACCTTTCCTGAGGAAGGGTGTGAAGGGCTGTTCCTGACCCGACTGACAAGTGATGTCTCTCACCGCCTGGTCCTATCAGTTAACCACTGGTGTCACTACACCCTCAGAGCTCTTGCAGGAAATCATGTTTGACAAGACATTGTGTGCTAATCTTTTCTCTACCACAATCATCCTGCATTGTTAGAATATTGAATGCAGATTTAGATTATGTGTGACAAAATGCCTGGCACCAAATAGCAGTTTCCACCTTTCCTCCCTCCTTGTCCTGGGATTCAAATGAGAATAGTTGGTATAAGAGGTAATTTACCAGAAGAGGTAAGTTTTTATAAGTAGCAGTTTGGGTTAGGCAATAAATGAGAAGGGAATTATATAGTCATTTTTCTGTCCAAAGTATGGTCCTATCTGGTTTCTTAAAGTTCTCTTACCTCTATTCTGTTCCAATCATACTAAGTCCAAACTGCCCATCTGATTTTATTACCTAACCCTTTTCTGACCAAAAAAGCCTTCATGTCATATCCACGTTTTACATATTTTTGTAGAGTTGAATTATTTGGGTTATTCCACTTAGGAAAATTGTCAGCAATTTTCCCCTTAAAAATCTTCCACCTACTGGATTTTGGTTGCCTTATTCATAACTTGGTCAGTATTTGGGTTGTACCCCACTGAAGGGATGGGGGTGGGGGTCTCCCTATGGAACATCTTTCAGTTGACTTCCTGCTGTGTTCTGTGTATGACGTACAAACCACCTGTCAGAACAGATCTTAAGAAAAGCGTGGG